TTTTGGCCGTCATCAGCTACGGATAACCAACTCTAGTGTAGCCGCTGAAATTGGCGCCACACCCGAGTTTTGAACTCGCGTCTCGCCGGTCAGGGGCATACGTACTAACCATTGAGCCATCAAGTTCGCTGTCTGTCCGTCCAGCAGTCCAGGTATTAGCAGTGAGGATTGGGTTACAATAAAGACAACGATTGGGTCAACCTAATAGGGATTACAGTTCAGGTTCATATAAGGGTTAGGAAAGGACAGTTGGAGAAACAGGGCGCTACTTGCAGACCCGCCAACAGGAACACGAAGCGGCGGCTCGGATACTAGACCCTAACTCACAGCTTGCAACACATATCGGAGCGACTGGCCACAACTTTCATATTCAAAGAACGACCATCGTAGGCCGAGGAGCTTCAAAAGCTGAAAGATTGACGTTTCATGCATGGTACTCAGACGCCAACTCTGTGAACAGGCGGCTGGACCTCCCTGCAGCCTATAAAGTCCTACGCCATTACGTATGTAAAGGACAGGACCCGATCAAACCGAAGTCAGGATTTGCAGACGACGATGGCACTGTGACTAAACCACCGGAAGAGAGAGCAGGTATACTAGCATCCTCTACCGTGGGGACGAAACAGAACACCAACTGCCGTCACGCCAAGCCAGGACCAAACAACGACCAAGGAAAAATTGATCAGCCAAATACCAACACGTACAGCCGCAATTTTAAACTTACTGATCGCTTAAGTCAGTATTCGTTTCGAGAAAGGGCAGCCGGCCTAGCTGTTCGAATCGTCAGCGAATCTACAAATTTATTCCGGTGAGCAGAAGATGAACTCTTATTCTTACTGCGGAAATCTGAATTTTTCAAATTTGAGTACTTATTCCTCCTGGAGTTGTACACAGAGCCACCTGCCTTAAGCTGGTGGATGTCCGTATTCCTATCCCCCTATATTAGTCACCCCTACCAGTTTTCTCCCTGCAGGGTATCTCCGGTTGAACCGAGACTTATACTTTGAATGGGATCGTATCAAGGTTATCTGGACCCCCCATATGACGTTTTTTCATGGGGTAAAACGTGCGAGAAGAGCGTCTAATGTACGCATAACTGTTGTATTTAATTTATTTAAGGTAGTGTGGTCAAAAACCGAAGTTATTTTCGATGCGGGATATAAGATGATAGCAAGCAAACATCTGTAGGTGGTATTGCAATGCGCAGGCGTGCAGTTGGCGAATACCTACACGAATGAATTGTCAAAAGGATGGCCGTGAAAAAAGGAAGTTAAGTGAAGAGCGTTTAATCATGGTGGGTGGACAGTTCGCAGCCAATTTGTTCACTGGATTTGTTTGTGGATCCAGTTGAAAACGCTGCCAACTGAGCTGAAGAGACTGTAGGTGCGTGAGCATCGTCTACTAGAGTACTCGCCCAGCACTCCGTGGACAGACCAGCGATCAGTTTTGCTGTCACGGCAGTACAGTCCGCCTCCGTTATCGCCCGGACATGTGGCCTTGGAAACGAAGAAAAAGTTAAATGAAGAGGAAGCATTTCAGAGTTTTCCAGACTGCTACAAACCTCAGGGACGCAAGATATTTTTCATTAGTGAAGTCAGTACCAGCTTATGTAGGTGTTCGACCATCGATTTCGATGAAGTCCGCCAAGTGCACCAACCGGTTGACAGCTTCAGGGGGTAGGTTATAATGGTACCGGAAGTAGTCAGCGCCAACCACACTCCACCCCTTTGCCCAGGGTCAAGAAGACCAAACAGCACCCGGTCCTGGCCGTTTTCAAAAATGCAGGCCAGAAAACCGCTTACTTAGTCTTAAGTGGCAGTAGTCTTTTGCGCTGGTACTCTCGTACTATTTACCTTCACTCACCTCCAGTTGGTGTCAAGCCAGACTCAACAAAACCAAGACTGGTACCGTTATAACT